TTAGCACCGATAGAAGCAAAGTACATGCGATCCTCAAATGGCTTATCCCTTAATCGACAGCGGACGGACGTAGTTTCATGGGACTTGCTTCTTATTACCATCGTTTCGTTCAAAAGTTTGCTTGTATAGCAGCGCCCGTTCATCGATTAACGGAAAATGGACGGAAATTCGTTTGAACTAATGAGTGCCAGGTAGCATTTAATACGCTTAAATTATGCTTAACTTCTCCCACTTTTCTAGCATTTCCAAACAAGTCGCCCGACAGTGGCCCCTTTATCCTGCATACTGACGCTAGGGCACAGGTGATAGGAGCTCTCCTTTCACAGATGACTTCTCACAGACAGGTGCGAGTAATAGCATACTCTAGGCGGCGTCTGGACAAGAGAGAGACACTATATTCTACGACTCGCCGTGAGATGTTGGCTATTGTGTACTTTCATACTTACTTTCGCCATATTATATTGGGGCGTTAATTTTCGGGCAGGACTGATCACAAGGTGCTACGGTGGTTGCAGAATTTTCATGATGCGGAGGGCCAGCTTGCCCACTGGCAGGAACGTCTGCAGGAGTTTGATTTTATTCATGAGTACCATCCCGGAAAACGACATGCTGACGCCGATGCTCTCTCACGCCTGCCAAATTGTGAAACCACAGTGAATGTGTTATTCAGTGATGCAGTTGATATAGACTGGGCCTGCCTGTAAGCAGCGGACACAGACATACAACCTGTTTATTTACGACAACAGCACGGCAACAATAAACCAACGTATAAGCAATTACGAGATCTGCCAGCAGCTACGCGCTGCACCTGCGGAAGTTGGGGCCCACTTCGACTAATAGATGATGTCATATATATAGTAGAACCGAATCCCAACCCCCGACTCCTCTTCCTAAACGTCAAAGTACAGGAGCTTATCAGTCAAATACACCACCAACTTAAGCACGCTGGTCCACACAAAACTGAACACATCATCCATCAGCGTTTCTGATGGCCGTTGTTTCATCGGGATGTGACCGGGTTCTGTCAAAACTGCGACTTCTGTAGCCCCAACAAACAGCTTACACAAACGGCTAGGGCCCCACTTGTACCTATGCTAGCCTAAGCACCGAATCAGCGCGTCAGTATTGACGTAATGCGGCCACTTTCAACCTCACAAAGAGGTCAACGATATATCTTAGTGATGATTGATTACTTTACCAAATGGTGTGAGGCGCTACCTCCGCAACAAAAAGATGCAAACAGCGTGGCCAAGGCATTCATTGACAACTGGATTACTCGTTTTGGTGCCCAACACTCACTGCATTTGGATCGAGGTGCTACTTTTGAGAGCCAACTTGTTCATCCCATCTGTGGCGTATCTGGTATTCGGAAGACAAGCACGACTGCCTTTCACTCAGAAGGAAAGGGTACGGTGACGCCTACTAATCGAGCGATCAAGAGTATCCCACACGCTTTCATCAACTCAGTGTCAACTGGCGCTTGAGAAGATAACCACCTCAATTTCTCCTGGCCTATCGCTCTTCCGTACATTCTTCCACGGGTTTCTCTCCTGCGTCACTTTCCTAAGGTTAAGAATTACGTCTTCCTACTGAAGTTCACTTTCATCCCTTACCCTTTGAAAAGACTGACCATGTTGCTTATGTCCGGCAATAACACGACCGTTCACACACCTTATGCATTTAGTAGGGACCATGTGCCGATGTCTGCAAAAAAAGCTCTGTGATCTGATAACTACCCCAAAAGGATACCAACACTTCATTCCTATTCTGGCTACCATATACTCATATATCATATCAATTATAGCCTTCACAACAACACTGCCCCACTAACCGCTTCGGGCAGAATTTTCACCAACGTCAGTCAACAGAAACATCTGGCATCATGCATATAGCATGCATGATATCGGATGAATTTCTGGCTGACATAGCCAACAGTCTACAGCTAGGGCAAGGCACAATCCCCGTGAGATAGCTGACACGGTGTCGACACCGAGCGCGGATACTAATATTTCTAAAATACTGATATCTAATTACCATACAGGTGTCTCGCACTGCATACCACATCCAGACGAAAGACCATCCCTGATTACCACCTCACAAACCAACCTGAAGTCTTCCTATGGTCCAAAGATATTGGTAAATGAGTGTAAAACATGTATATAGAGGATACTCATGGATTATTTTATCAAGATGTTGTCCACTCACTGAAACCACATAGCCAGTGTTTATCTATTATCCTGGTAAACGCGAGATCAGTTCTAAGCAAACACTTAACACTAAGTACATTAGCTTCTATATTCATACCGTCATCGATTATGATCACTGAAGCCTGGTGCACAAGTGATATCTCCAGTGACAGCCTAAGGATTGATAAATACAACCTATTTCGAGGGCACAGACAGATAGGTCGTGGGCGTGGAACACTAATTTACTGTGAACAATCCATGTGTGCAAGTCAGTTCAGTAACCCAATTCTGTCACAACTCAATGACTCAATCTGGGTCGAGATAAAAGTTGTCAGGAGTAAACCTATACTTGTGGGTTGTGTGTACCGACCCCTCCATCCAGCATGGAGTATTAAAATATGCCCAACAACATTTTTAATGTTACAGACAATCTTCCCTTCAGTTATAAAATTATCGGAGGTTGTTTCAAGGTCTTCACTCCGAGGACACCAAAGGTATGATAATCTCCTGAATTCCATCATCTCAGGAGGGTGGACACAACACATAAATTCACGCACTAGACCCACTAGTATCCTAGACCTCATTTTTACGAACAACATAACACCATCTACAGTACATGTAGGACGTGAATTTCCAGGTGGTGACCATAAAATAGAAGTGTTTTCTTTCGACATCTTTCCTGAAAGAAAACGCAGAGATGAAGCTGGCCAGACACCTATGAGATTGTACACACATGCTGACTGGGACTCGTATCAGTACCTAATTAGATGTTCTAATTGGGACTCGTACTTTTCGAACGAGTCCTTAGAGGCAATTCTTAGCAACTTTTATTACAATATTTACTCAACTCATGACGTCATTGCACCTGAGAAGATTCTTAGCTTCAGATTCCCCAAAGCGATTATATTCCGACATCGTTTAGGAGAAGTCTACGAAAGCACTCAATAAAATACTACAGATATCATGACTTATCATCACTAATTGCTATTACGTCCCTTCTCAATAGAATTGAAGAGTTGAGAAATATAGGCCTCGGAAACAAAGAAATGCGAGCCATTCAGGCACCACATAACTGAGGAGAAATAGCCAAACTTTCCAAAGGTAGTTTGACAAACTCCATACGGCCTATCCAAAAATAATATATTTAGACGGCATTGCCTACGAGAATAACGAGGTGACATGTAAGCCGTTTATCAAGCACTTTGAAATAATAGAGAAGATTTGTAGCTCAGGTGGATGATTTGCAATTCATAGTGTTCTCTGAGCTGGTTGGTTTAGTTGCGAAGCTTTCGTCGTCCTTCTGAACAACATCCCCTTTCAGCGCCATATTTAGCACAAAGTGAAATGATTTAAATTTCTTCATGAGTGATATAATTGCGTCTCCTGGTAACTATCTTTACATATGTGTTGACCATTTTCTATTGACTTGGATTTTAAACTTTCTGGTCACCTGATTTACCTTTTATTAGTTGGTATATTTCGTCTATATTAACGTGTTTGTCAATTGCATTTTCGCTTGAATACCGGGCTTCTAGGAATTCTCTGGCACTTTTCGTGTTTCCTCTGTCTAAGATTTTGACATGATCCCAATCAATTGTATGTATGCATTGATACTAAAGAATACATATCATGTCTGATTTATGTTCTTGGATTCTGATTCGAAGGGGACGCCCACTTTGGCCGATGTAATGTTTGTTGCAGTTCATACAATTTATTTTGTAAATGGTATTAATTTTATCTCCTTTTTCTGTTGGATCTTTTGATTTGCGTAATATCGAATTAAGCGATTTTACTGGTTTGTGTGCTATATCTCTATCTAACGGTTTCATTATTCTAGCTGTTATTTCAGAGATATTCCTCATGTATGGTAGAATGAATTTTCTTGTGGTCTTTGATTCGACTTTAGACACTTTTGAAGACCGTTTGTAGGTACTTTTCTTCCATTCTTTTCAACTCTGGAGTGCTACAGTGTGTCTGAACTCTTTTAAACAATGTCTGCACACAGTTTCTTTTGTGAGTGATTGGATTATTGCTAGTGTAGTTGAGTATTTGATCTGTGTGCGATGATTTTCTATATACTTGTGTTTCTAAATTTCCTATGTTGGTTCTCCTGATTAAGACATCTAAAAATGGGATTTTGTTATGTAATTCTTCTTCTCTCATGGTGAATTTGATGTCTTCAAATATGTTGTTTATTAATTTATGAGTATATTCTAAATCATTATGGGATAGGATATTCAACCTCCAGAGAGACGTTTAGAACTGACGGGATTTTCGGAAAAGCAAAAACATCCTTCCTTTCAGATAAACATTATTATTGTTAATGTATTAATTATTGACGGAGGAATACACAAACAGTCATTCACACAAGCACGTAAAGAATATTTAAAAAAACTACCCCTGAGAATATCAGTAGTATATAATACTACCAGCAGTTTTCTTTTTTTTTTGAAAAAAAGATCCCTGAGATAGATATTAAGATAAAATAAAAATTAAAAAAAAAATAAAATCACATATAGACTGTTTTGAGTATTCGCACGATAAAATAACAGTCTAAGTAGTGTTAATATTGTATATATAAAAGTCAACCGTATAATATGGAAATATTTAAAGGTGCGAATACATTTCAAGTGACAATAAAGTGGAATAAGATAAATAATAATAATTTTAAAAAAACATGCTAAATCAGAAGGTATGTATATATATGTGTATTTTAATTTTTAATAAAACAAAAGAAAAAACTGACTAAAAAGAGAAATTCGAATATTCTGTTTGTTGTTAGGCTGACTGGCTGGCTGGCTGGCAGTCAGTCAGTCATCTTAAGAAAGGTGATGCAATATCAGCTAGATTGGATATGAATCTGCGTTTCTCATCATCTGTTGACTGAGTACAGGCTAGTTTCAAGTGTTGACTAGCAACGCGACGATCTTAAAAGAAGACGAGAAAAAAATAAAGAAAGAGGGTGATTGAGTGAAATTCAATTATTATGAAAACCGGCTAAAATAACCCTTGACTGGATTAAACCAGTTTGATTTTCTGGTATTGGTTTTGTAGGGATTTTGTTTGCTTGTTCGGGGGATTTCATCAAGAGCTGACATCAGGTAGAGAACCATTGGAAAACAAGCTGGGAGTACTGGACAGCTGGTAGGTTTGTACCGACGAAGAGTCCCACGCAAGGCTGATGGTAAAGCTGGCTGTCGTCCAGTACTCCCTGCAGGTTTTCCAATGGTTCTCTAAATGATGTTAGTTCATAATAAAATCCTTCAAACAAAATCTCTACGAAACCAATACTTGAAAATTAATCTGATGCTCACTAGCGACTGGCCCTATTCGGCCCAGGCAGTTACCTGGGGTTCTAGTGGGAAGCTGTGACCAGTGAGTGGGGTACAGCAGGTTGAAGATGAGGCAGTAACTCATCAAAAAAGAAATTGCGAAGTGGTCGCGCTGTATCGCGAATTGGCAGAAGTTAGAATTCATGGGTTGGCAATTAGATCGGCGTCCCAGTGACTTAATGGTCTACGAGCTCGCTTGTCTTGTAACCAGAAGGTCATTGCTTTGAACCCTGTCGGGAGGTGCGTAATGATGAAGAGTCCCAAACTAGGGCTAAACAGCTGAGCAGTACTCCATGTTGATCTTCCAGTGGTTCTCTAACTGATGTTTACTCATGATGAAATCCTCCAACCAATTAAACCACCGTGATTGGACAATCTAGATGGTCAACATTATGCAACCAATATATAATTCGTTATTTGCTGACTTAACTCTCTAAGGCACACGTACTATTTGTATACAGTTTACTTCGAATAATAATATGGAATTATTTTTATTTCGTCGGGACAAAGTATAGAGATCCAGGAGTGCGAACTCACCAGTGACCTTGGAATCACACTGTTCGTTGGATAACGGGACCTACACTTATTTTAGGGCCAATATGATGAAGAGATTGAGGCGCGAATTTCATCCCAATTTCGTTTTTAAGTGCTATTTGGATAATGTGTTCATAGCTCGTTAGGGTTATGATTAGGATTAAGTTTGAGGATTAGAGTTAGGGTGTGCTATTTTTATTATCTGCAATTTTCTAGTAAATGGCTGTCAACCTCCTTATTAGAACTCGTATTAATTCAGTGGAGGGCTTCTGAGGATAAGAGCGATAAATGGGGTCACAAAACGAACTCATCTTCAGTCACACAGATGAATCCATGCACAGTAGCCAACTTAACCTAAAAACTGATGCTCCTCATTATAATTGAGAGATATTTTTGAGTAACGTCATGGAAAAGTATCCTGTTTAATGTGTTTGATCACTATTCTCTGTATTTTTCTTATAAATAAACGTCATTTTTATGTGGAAAAAACATAATGGATTTTCTGATTGATCGCCACCTCAAGATCAGTTTGTGCATTCGCATTCCATGGATCGTTATGGTTTAACTTTTTTATTAGATGGTTGGAGACAATCAATCAGAAGGAAGTCTTGTCTGACCTAGGTTTTGTGCTTGTTGGCACTCACCGCCAGTCAGTTAGTCAGCAAAGCGTATCTGCAATCTTGAAGGAACTCATATCCCTCCTCCTGAGATTCGAACCCATGTCACGCCCAGTGTGAAAATCAATCGAAGAGGCTATAAAGTTACATAGATTAAGATGGCTAGGTCATGTGCTGCGCATGCCTAACCATCGCCTCCCCCGACTGACGGGCATTACTAGCTGATATAGGTGCAGGTTTGAAAAGAGTAAGTGGTGGTCAAACAAAAACATGGCCTCACCAATCCATGAAATCCCTGACAGTTAAACTGAGTCAGGTAGGGAGATGCAGACTTCCGGGTTGGGGCCCGCCCTCGGGACTCTAAGAATCAATGAATGGCTGGAGACAATAGGTGACATGGCTCAAAATCGTTGTCAATGGCTTACGCAGATGTATTCAGTCTCTGTAATCTTTCATATTCCTTTCTACCATTACTCATTGTGTTTCACTCTTATACTTGTCAAAACTCTATTGATTCTCTTCACTCATTTTCCTGTCTACGTTTGTGTGTTATTTGGAACGTGGCAACTCGAATTGTTGCACGTCGGTGCCAAGTTCTATGTTGATCCAGCCAGCCAGCCACCCCCAGTGCGGTAGTCACAGACCTCCCCATCACCGTGCTATTCGGGCCGACAGAATTCAGTCTGCACCAAACAAAGGACCAGACGTATGATACTAGTGTCCAATCAAAATATTCTTCTATCTTTATTTGTGTGCACTGTTGGGGGTCAGAAGTAATCAGTGGTCAGTTTGAGTATCAAAACCATAAATCAATAGAAATATTCAAAAATCATCACCGATACAAAACAGTTTCTACAGTTAATTTCAGGAAATCGAGTTGGATGTATGTGGAATATTATTATCATCATTATCATCGTTGAGCTATAAAGTTCGATACAGTCCTCATGTGGTGAGAGCTGTCTGCTAGCCAAAATTGGTAAACAGTAATTTACATCAATGTTCCTAGAGGAACATAGGACTTCAGACGCATGTCTCCATTGCGTTCGGTTCTCCGCCAACGTTTTCACCTGGCTCCACGTCTGCCCACATGCTTTCATCTCCCCTTCACATGATCTCCTATATGTCACCTTCACACTGACGACCAACTCGCCACTTCCCATTTGTTTTTCACTCGAACAACAGCCTGCCGTGTGATGTCACTTGATGGTTTGTTTTCTCAGAGTAAGGCCATTCCACCTACATTTCTTCCTGCATATTTGTTGCACAATCGGATTCTGCTGGGTTGGTTCGCTCATTGCCAGAGATCCCTCCCTGTTGCCGATCTTTTCTGGACATCTGATCTTCAGTAGTGAGTGTGGACAGATGTTGATGAAGGTGTGTAGTCTGTTCAAAGTGCACTTCGTGACGCGGCGCCAAGTCTCTAATCCGTATAGTAGCACTGACTTCATATTGGAGTTGAAAATCCGCATCTTTTTTTTCATGCTGAGTGCTGTTCACCACCACACAGACTTGAGAGAAACGAAAGCTTGTCTTGCTTTCCCGATTCTCTTTGCTTTGATATCCTCATCAGTTCTGTCCGCCTGTATTTGAAACGATGCTTCCCAGGTAAGTTAAGGAGGTTGCCTCTTCCAAGTTTCTCCTATTTATGCTGATTGTTGTTAATAAAAGTAAATGTACAATAATACAATATCTAACAGTCACAGACCAGCCTTTGTCTTTTGATATTCGCGTGGCTCAGTGAATCGAAATGTACAACGGACAAATGTACAGCCGATGAAAATGAAATATTGATGGATACTGTTGTCAGAAAAAAGGGATATCCTTTGAAATTAAAAAAAAAAAACAGTGTAGAAGTCAGTTCGTTTAAAAACTCACAGTCTATTCTATCCCCAAGAAAGATGTTTTCATCAAATCACCAACCAATGTGGAAATAAGTAGTACGACTTTAAAACAGAGACTGAACTCGATCATTCGTGAAACGTATTATGCTGCTAGTCTTACAATAACTGAAAAAGCCAAAAACATGGTCTACCACAAGTGCACAAGTGATTATGTCACATGCCATACTGCATAACAATTTATATATGTGTGTTGGTAACCTTGCTTGCTTAGCATGTGAGAGTGGGAGAGCATATTCCAAAATGGTTAGAAAAACAAAACAAATAAACTGTGAAACCTCGATAAATGTGAGTGGTAGACTACCAGCCTCGTCTACAGGTAAACATCTAATCGATATAAACCACACGGTTGGGGGTATTAGAACACAGCTTTTAAGATTATGTATAAAAAAGTCAGAGGTGCATAAATGAAATACACACAGTCGATGACTATTCGTAAACTTTACCCTCTTGTGTGTACAAAAAGCGATTTGTTATTACTCTCGATCGACTATGGTAATCCTTATCTGATTACATTACAAAATGTGCGTCGGTGGCACAGTGGTTAGGACTCTCGCCGACCATGCACATGGTCCGGGGTTCGATCCCCTGCCGGCGCACACCCGATATCTATGGTCGGCCTGAATTTGGGCTACCGATATCCATGCTGAAAATTCCACACTTGTACTGAAAATACGGTGTGGAATCAAGCTGTAAATCAAAATAAAAAAATAAATAAAAATAAATAAAATGTAGTGTTATGTCCAACCTCCACTGTATTCAAATTTCAACAAACAAATGAGGAGGCAGTGGGATCACCAATATCCCCAACAGTGGTAGACATATTTATGGACAGTTAAATGGGAACATAAGGCTCTTAGAACGTGTTATCCTGCTCCTAGGTAGGTTATTGGTGGAGATATGTGGATGACACATTCTATCACTGTGTTGAAATCTGAACATATCCCTCAATTTCTCACACATATAAACTCAAAAGAATATGGAATCTAATTCATTTCTTAGTGAAAAATGAACAGGGTGAGTTGGCCATGGTAGACTGTAGAATAAAACGAAATGCAAGATGGTGAGTTAGATAGGAATTAGCATTTAGAGGGAACGTACACACTCTAATTAATACTTAGATTTTAATTCATCCCATTCCGAATAGGTAAAGATAGGTTTAGTCAAATGCCTTTTAACCGGGTCAATGGCCTAACTAGTAGGCCAGAAGACTTAAATAGCGAAACCAAACAAATAAAGGAAGTATTTTGACTAGACACTAGTAACTAGTGCGACATGTCTAGTCCTTTCTTTGGTGCAAACTGAATTCTCTCAGTCAGATTTGTAATGTGGCCAGTCAGTGGTAACGTGTCTGACTGCAGCACTCACTGGGTGACGCGGGTTCGAATCTCAGAAGGGACATGAGATCCCTGAAGGTTGCAGATAAGTCTTGCTGACTGATGAGTGCCAACTAGCACGAAACCTAGGTTCAAGACTACCTGCCGATTGCCTCCAACTATCTAAAGGAAGTATTGCTAGTGAATAACTACCTACCAGAATTAACTCG